TTTGCCCGTGCCACCTTTGGGTGGCTTAATCTTCATCAATCAACCTACAATCCCCTTACGGGCTCACCATAGCCCGTGCTACATGGACACTTCGTTCTAAGTAGCTAAAACTAAAACAACAACAACAACAACGTACAATCCATTTTACGGGTTATTCATGCCCGTGCACACACACTCTGCGTGTGTGTGTGTGTGTGTGTGTGTGTGTGTGTGTTTTGGTGATCAATAAGGTGCCTCACTGCGCCACAGATCACACAGTAATATTCTCCCTCCACAGCGGAACGCGGAGATTACACCCCTCACCTGTTGACACCTAAGCCACCATTGCCATCACCTGTGGCACTTGATTGACACATTCTCTCCCCTTGCAGGTTAAAGTGTGGTTCCAGAACAGAAGGACGAAAGAAAAGAGAATCCAGCAAGAAGACGAAGGAGATGGAGGAGGGGAAGGAGGAACAAGCAATGGAGAAGGAGGGGGTGCAGGAGGAAGAGGAGGAGGAGGTGGAGCAACAGCATCAGGAGGAGGGAGTGCGCCTTCAGATAAGTGCTCCTCGTCCGCGACTTCTCCCGACAGATCCTCCAAGCCCATGATGGAGGAGGAGGACGACTTGGACGACGAGATCCTCGAAGACGACTCTGAGAGCGAGAGTGTAGGCGTGGGCGGTGGGCGTGTGGAGCTGACGACGGGCTGAGAAGCCAGAAGCTACCTCACCACGCCCACGCCTCCGCACGCCCCCCTCTCCACGCCACGTCGGCCACCACTACACAATCTCCAGAACTCTCGGCGGTGTGCACGAAGCCGCCTGTACACATAGTTGGGTGTACTTTGGGGGTACACATCGAGTGTATGTGTGCTGAGTACACGGCCGGTACACCCAGTGTCATACGCTCGTCAGGAAGTGTAAACAGTGTCATTAGTGTGGGATAGTTCACGGGGCATAAGGCTGAAATTGAACTGAATCAGCTACTCGCGAACAGTTAGGACTGTCCGATGATACCTTCTAAAGGATTCATATATATATGTATATATATATATATATATATATATATATATATATATATATATATATATATATATATACATCGTGTTGTCGTGATATTGCATATTTTGGGGCTACGAGAACTCGAAGTCCCAATTTCCGACAAAAAAAGAAAAATCCATTAATTTAAGTGAAATTGCTAGTGTACTATATTTCCATAAGCTGAGTGTATTCAAGGTGTCGTGGCACTCCTGTGCCACAATAATATGAGTGCCAAGCTATGAGGGGGGGAAGAGTGAGATGCCTTTAGAAGCGACACTCGCTGCCGCTAATCACATTTTTGACTTTCCAAGTGTCGAAGAATAATTTGTAATGAATTTTTTTCTCCCTCCAAATCCTTGCGTTGTTAAGTGTGTATATAATGAAAGTGATTGGGAGCCACGAAGCTGGGGGGACTTGTGGAGGTGATTGTGCTTCGGGTCTCTCGTCTTAAAAATTAGACGGCCCTATGACGATATATATATATATATATATATATATATATATATATATATATATATATATATATATATATATATTATATATATATGATATATAATATATATATATATATATATATATATATATTATATATATATATATATATATCAAATGCTGTATGTCATATAACATCACTATTCATTACATCGAAACTGTTTATTAAAGTGAATAATTATGTACTAGATAGACAACCAGGCCATCTATCATGCTGTGTTGGGGCAGAATTTAACACGGAGATCAAAGTGTACATAATATATATATATATATTTGTCTCCTTACCAGCAGGACAGGCTGAGGGAGCGAGGGTGTACCTGGAGTGAGTGTAGACCTGACGTAAGTGTAAACATTGTATGTGAATGTGGGACGTGTCATTTCCTGAAGTATCATGACACTATAAGAAGGTTTCTCTCCTCATTTCCCGACTCTCAGCTTCGCTGCTGTGTTCACAGTCCGTCCTCTCCGCGTCATTATACATTGTAAATATTTATTTGTTCTTTTTTAGTAACGTATCTTAACGTTGACCAAACCACACACACTAGAAAGTGAAGAGACGACGACCTTTTGGTCCGTCCTGGACCATTTTTAAGTCGATTGTGATAATGGTCCATGATGGACCGAAACGTCGTCGTCTCTTCACTTTCTAGTGTGGGGCTTGGTCAACATTTTTCAGCCACGTTATTGTGACTCCTCGTCTGCAACTTATCTTAACACTGAACTTCATCGCGTACATCAGAGGGGGGAAAAATAATGATAAAAAAGTTATCCTCTGAGAACCTTCTTGTCTCTACTTATATTTATTATTTTCTGTCATGCTCCTGTCCAAGCCGTCAAACCACGTGACAGTAATATAGGAGGTTCCGGCAGATGCTGACAGATCAACCAGGTTGTGAAAACTGTGAACCTCGAAAGCCTGGCCATCACGCTTTAAAAAAAGTATCGGAACCAGCCACAGACAAAGCACAGGTAAATATTTATAGATGCAGCAATCTCGGTCAGCAGCTTCCAAACAAATGCCCCCATAGAAAAGGGTCCATATACTACTGCCCCATACATGCACAAAACAGCAAGATAAAAAGGGAATTGATAATGTTTGGACAGCAAGAACTGAGTTTCCAAAAGCTGTATACCAGCTCTCCTTCTGCCTGATCGATAACGTAAACTCAAAAGTTAGGTAACGCTTTTGTGTTTGGAAGAGTTGTATTCAACCACTCCTCCGTTACCCTACGCTTCTGAAGTGTACGCAAACTTATGTGCCAAATAATAAAGTTGAATACGAGGTAAAAAGTAAAAAAATGGGGGGGGGGGAGGGGATTACAATCGCCATAAGGCCAGCCGGCGTCTTCTGGTCCCAGAAGCAGCCAGTGATCCCCAACTCAACCGACATTGACCCCTGGTTATTGTCTATTCTTTCTGACAACAATAATTGAAGAACGATCATGAGATCACAATGTACGTAAAGAGGTCACCATCACTGGCTAGACTGACACAAAGGATAGGTCACCACACACACACACATTGAATGCCTCACAAACGAGGAAGTACCACCCCTGACTATTCAAAGTACGGAAGAAGTACTAATCATAACTAGACCACCCACAGCACCACGTACTTCAGGCTTGAGCTTCAATATCTAACCCTCATCTGGGTTAGATATTATGGGATTTTGATCCCTCCCAAGCCCTACGTTTGCAAGGAAAAACGCCCTAGAGCTAGACACGAACCCGCTACACCACGCCCCGAACTGGCCAGGGGGAGAGACAAAAAATATTCAAATCACGGTGAAGTAGCTTGCCTGGTGAACCCATGATCCCTCAAGTTTATTTTGAATACTGGCCAGGATATATATAGAGTAATTTTTTATCACCAATACCTCTCAGTTATAATTTCTTCACTGTCTTGCGAAGCTAAAAGATACTTGGAACTCCGTAATGACGTTCGGCGACCTCTTATGAGTGAAGAGATTTCCGAACGCCTGTCGAAGTATCTGGAGCTCTGCCGCTGATGCTCTGTAGCCTGTGTGACTGACAGGTCTATATTTCTCGTGGTGGTGATAGTTGCTGGGTACATTCATGTATTAAGTTTTAGTGGTATTTCTATTTACGATACAATAACAGAGTTCAGTTTTAAGCTGGTACCTAATAGCGCCTAATATCTACGCTTCCCACACTAACAGCAGAAATTCCGCTGAATCTTTAATGTGCATTGCAAGACTAACTAAAATTCAGAGTCTAAAATTGGAAAAAAAACAGGCAAACGCCGACGATCGTTAAACAGTCGTGCCACGGAAGATCCACACAGTCGTCAAAACGAAGAGTTTAGCCAGTCACGGCCGCGCTATCTATACTCGTTATCAGTCTTCCTCCTTCACCGTCAAGCGCCTTCGTCAGTTCTGTGCTCCTTGGGAGGAAGACAGTCACCCCCCCCCCTAGGCTCTTCCACGGTCACCCCTCCACCCTCCGACATTCTCCTCAACCAGCTAAACGCTGGTAAATAAACGCTGCGACTCAAACATTTCATACAGAGTGAAAGATAACTAGAAAAAAGTGAATCAGTTACCCTGCTTAGGGACGTTGTGTGAAATGATGAATTATGGGCTTTTGTGAGATGCTGGCTCTTGGCACCTCACTTGGGTTAGATATTGTGTGCCTACAACAGCCTCCTGAACCACTTGTTGGTGTTTGTTAACGAGTGTGCGTGCGACGAATGAAAGCAATTCTTGTGATTTGTGTGTGTGTGTGTGTGTGTGTGTGTGGTGTGTGTGTGTGTGTGTGTGTGTGTGTGTGCTGGTTATCACTCTGTGCTCTATAAGAGTGCGGTCTTATGTGTGTGTGGCAGAGTTAGTGTAAACGGGCCCTTACGAGGTCTATCCCTGTGTGGTCTGAAGAGGCTACTGCCCCGAGCCTCAACTGGGCTATCCTCAGAGTTGTGCTATTCCTTTAAGGTTTAACATGTTGTTAATGTTTTTAATAAACTTATTTATCTCTTGAGTTTTTAACGACCTTTACATCCTTTAGGTGAATAATGTATAAAGGATCTTCCCTCTCTCCCTTCCTTCATATCCTAACTCTTATCCTCTCCTATCCACAATGTGCTATACTGTCAAACTGTTATAGCACATGTGCTATATACTGTCAAACTGTATATACTGTCAAACTGTTATAGCACATGTGCAATATACTGTCAAACTGTATATACTGTCAAACTGTTATAGCACATGTGCAATATACTGTCAAACTGTATATACTGTCAAACTGTTATAGCACATGTGCTATATACTGTCAAACTGTATATACTGTCAAACTGTATATACTGTCAAACTGTATATAGCACACTGTTATACTGTCAAACTGGTTTGGAATAATTATCGGGAGACGGCGTTATTATATTGAAAAGAAACGTAAGTTAGACACTCAGACACCAGCACAATCTAAATGCTTTACTAATGAATGGAGAACTGCCAGACAGACAGATGACTCCTCATAACTATATACGAGTAGAGGAAAAGATACAGGACGGCACTTTGATGTTAACTATGAAAGTCTGTTCTACAAGAATTCATTCCTTAGTTGACTACCATGCCTAACTATCAATAAGTTCCCAGACTTTAGTTGAGATTGTAGGTTAATAGCTCGGTCAACTCTCACTGTTTATGTTAGGTTCTCTTAAGGTCATGGTGATGATAGTTTGATACAATGGTAACTTGCTTAGTTAAACTAATTTTGGGGTTCAGTTAGTGAACCCAATGTAACGGGGGGTGGGGGAAATAACTCTATCTTGTCCATTATTCCACCCCCCAGTTAACTAACGAGGCCGGGGGAAACAGCTCTCTCTAGTCCGTTATCCCGTCCCCAGTTAGCTAACTATTCTAGAGCACCTCCAGAGTTCCTAAGGCAGCTTCTCTCGTTCAACACCTTGTAACCTAGGTATTTGACTACCTAGGTGCTAAGACTACAAGGCGCCGTAACTGGATCAGTTACCCGAAACTCTAGAGAGAATTCTAGAGTACAGAATCATAGCCACAAACGTATAAGAGAAAACGAAAGGAAAGAAATGAATAGTGAAGTAATTAGTGAGGGTTTGGGGTAAGAGGTAGGGAGGTGGGAGGAGCGAGGAGGGTCATTAGCTGAAAGTGAGAGTTTAGAGAGGGGTGGAGGGAGAGGAATAGATAGGTAGTAGTAGAAGAGTAGAAAGTAGACGTAGAAGAGTAGATAGTAGAAGACGAAATGCTGCCACCATCCATTCATGATCATTACATACAAGACAAGGAATGGAACTTGCCTGTATCACAAAATTCTCAAAAGATGTTATCATGAGTTCATTATTAGTATGTTCCCTCTGTACCATGTATCAACTCCAAACATGTACTCGTTAATATCATGAAACCAGTAACCACAGAGGCTTTCTCATCTCAACTCAAAATCTCTAGGGAACAAACTTAAACACAATTTAAATAATAAATTCATAATTATATTTCACATGAAGTATCATATTTTAGCAATTCAATTAAAATGTTCCAG